AACCTGGGGGTCAGGACCCCAAAAAGGGGTCCAGCGATAATTCTGAAGGGTCACAAGATGATCAAAGGGATAATAAAAAAATGTGAAAAGTAACCCTATAAATAATAATGAAAGATAATGAGATGTTTGAACTGCTCATATCTCGTGTCCACATTTTGACCAAAGCCTGTGACAACTCACTAGTAGATTTTCTTCCAGATACTAGTTCTGGTTATAATATACATCAACAATCATTTATCTCGAAATTTATCTTTATAAAAGTTACCTTACTCATCGTTTAATCTGGTATTATATTCATTATTCCCATTCCCATCTTTTTTTTTTTTTTCCAAAAATAAATTAATATCTACTATTTATTGTCAACATTTCTTTTTAAAGATTTTTACACTAATATATCATTTAAAATCTCATTATCTTTCATTATTATTTATATTATTACTCACATTTTTTTTTATCCCTTTTATCTTTTTTACCCTTCATATTATCTCTTTACCCTTTTTCTACCCCCATTTCAAGAATTACCTTTCTTCCTTCTTAAGTTATCAAATATTATCAAAAAACAAACCATCGTATTTATTCCTAAAATTCACAATTATCTTTTTTTGAATACTTAGACTGTTGGTTACTTTGTACAGTGGGTTGTAGGTTAAACTGCTGGCATAGTTGATCTAACAATTACGCGATAGTGACGTTGTTTGAAGATTGTAGCATTACAGGTACAAGCACACTAGTACAGCAGCGACTAGGATACAGTTTAAACACGAAATGTACCCAATCCTGTTCCGTAGAATTAATCGACTTTTATTCGTGGCTGTCTGATGTCTTGTTTGTATTTTTAAAGTTTTGTATGAAGAATGCTCGCAATATTCTAATCTTTTATGTTGATTCAGAATACTTCAACAAATTTATGAATTGAAGTAATGCCGTTGTCAGAAAGGATTGAAAGCCCCCGTTCTGAGAAGATATTTTGTACTCGGTTGTGAACCAAAGTGAGAAGAACTGATTGAAGCAAACACGTTGTTTTTCTTCGAAACCTAACCGAGACATTCACAACTCGGCGGCTGTCACTGTAATTTTTTAAATGTTCATCTAGATCACGTCCACTGTCGCATCATCTTCACATTTTACTTATTTATCACTTCACATCCCACACACACCACACACAAACATCACACACACTACACACACAACACACTGCACACACAATCAACACACATAAACCACTCACACTTTTATCTCTCTCTTACCATCCACACTCAACTTTTCTTTCCCACAACCCCCTCCTGCATTCATTATAATATTGGCAAATCTAAATCCAAGATGTATATCATTAAATCAATTAAACTGTAAATCTATTTTACTTTTCATAAATTTTTTCTTTCTGTTCTCTTCTATTTTTCATCTCGCTTTCTTTCTGTTAATCCTTACACATCGTTTTTAAATTAATTTCTCTACATTCTCACTTTTAAATATCCATATATTACATGTATTCAACATTAATTACAATTTCTCCCTTCTCTTTTTTTTTTTACTCAATTTATTTACACATTAAGTTATATCAATACCCTATAAATGCTCATCATGATATGACCATTACATGCTTTTATTCAATATTTATCACACATTAACTTTTTATATTTTTAAATGTAAATCATAATACTTATCATATATAAAATCCTACTACATTATCATCTAACATTACATTATTTTTAACCATCTCTTTTTTTTAAATATGATAACTCTTTTTATACTTTCCACACACAAATACAACACTAAAACTTTATTTTATTTCCTACTAAATTTACCATTCTTATAATTAAAACCGATTACCATTTATAATTTTAAATAATAATTCATCCTGACTTTTCTAATTTTATCCTTATCTTGTTGTTATCAAGTCATATTCAATACAATCTCATATATCCCATGTTTTTCAATATTCTCATACATTTTGAATTTGTATTTTTCTTCACTTTTACTTCTTCAACTTTTATACCCTTTTATTCATTTTCATTATTTACCTCACCTTCCATACACTATCTTAACATTCTCCATCACATCCACAACAAAATCTAAGAAGGCAATTCACTCTACATACATCCCACAACCATCAAAACCATAACACACAAATCACCTGAACGAACACGAGACTGTGTTATAATT